CCACGCACCATTACATTATTATGTTCACAAGTTTTATTGGTACAAATTTCATTACAAAAACAAAAATGTAAAGGATACAATTAATCAAATACATCCTTTATAATCTTTCCAGAATACATTGGTTCCCAGTGGTAAAATAGATCAAATATGTATCTTTCGAAATTGCAAAAATCACAGTTGTAATCAAGTTTAAGTTTAAATCTTTGCAACATTTCTTTAAATTCGCAATTTCCCCACTGCAAATCACTCACAATGGAGCACCAAAATAATTTTGCTGCAGAAACTATGGTAAGGTCCAAAACATTCCTTAGTCTGAAGTGCTATGAGGTAAAATAAGGAGCTAAGCTAAATAACGGCACAGGTATGCAACATGGAGCTGCCTGACTGATTCACAAATATTTCAAAATTATCTTTCTGATTTATTATTATGTATTGTATCAAATCAGCCTGTTTACCTCTCCAGAGCCATTCTCCGGAAGATAACTTCATATCCCACAATTCTTACTTCCGCGACGTAGCAGGGCATGTTAAAGAAGAAGAAGTGGCACTTTTGTCTCGTCCCTGCTTGTCAGCTAGTTGCAGTAAATGTGACAAGCGAGTCGTGGGGCTCAACGATCAAATGCTCACAGCTCCGGAAATGAAAGGTAATAATTTAGCGTTAATTTAGAGCTGTTTGTCAGAATAAAGGCGGATAAACCAGAGCCAGCTAGCCAGCCTACCGCTGATTATCTGCTAAAGTTAGCTGTCGAAGTAGCCTATGAAGTTCTTCATCAGCATAGCAGACTTCTCTCTGAAGGGTGTGAAACAAGTGACATGACACATTTAATGAAGGAGGGTGTAAAAATGAAAGAGAGATGTTATCATCTAACTAGAGCATCTTATTTTGTCTTCCAGTCTAGTATCATACCAGCCTTTGCTTATACCAACAATAGTAACACTCAGCTTTAGTAACGTTACTGTACTCACAAAATGAAAAGTGAGACCATCAAACTGTAATGGTGGTCATGTCATAATAATAGTACATTATAGCCAGATTGACCTCCATTGTCTCAGTCACACGCTGCTGACCTTTGGTCCCATAGCTCTCTGTCTGTTTGTCCTGTCAGGTGTGCCTTTCTGCCATAAGTAGCAGTGATGGAGGGAGAAGCCCAAAGGCCTGGTGCCTCATGGGAGAATGGTACTCTGGCTCCTGTGGACCGCCTTCGCTGTGAGAGGGCGGACAGCCCTACACCAGGTCTGGTGGAGGGAACTGAACCAGGTGAGGCTGGTCCATATTCAGCACCTTGTGTAAATTGTCAGTAGGCAGTCAGATGGACCCACAATTTAATCTAAGTTTCATAAATTGAACCCCTGCTGAGTGGTCGTGATTCTTAGAGGATAGGAAAACTGAAAGTGTGTTGTGTGTGTGTGTGTGTGTGTGTGTGTGTCAACTCCCACTTGCAGGCATTTTACACTGAGAAATTGCCTTCAGTTGCAGCACAAGTAAATCCAAGCAATTACCCACAATGGGATTTTTGTTTTTTTACCACCATTTGTTTTCTTGTGATTTCAAAGACTGTGGGTATGTCTGAAGCTTCAATTTGGGCTGGTCATACATCAGAGATCCACTGTCTTGAGCCCTAAGTAATACCCGTCTTCTGCAAAGACTCATTGATACATGATTAAAACTTTTGTTATTTCCTCATTTTGCATCCGGACAAAAAAAAAGGAATCAGAAAATGTTTGCAGTAGGTTATGCCTGCATTAATATTGATTTTCAATGGATACTCAATTGTACCCTGACAAAAATTAGCATTATAAGCATAATGCTTTTCTGTAACTTTCCTCATGGGTGAAAAGTGTTCCATGAGAAGACTTCCGAACGACCAACTGTTGCATGGCACACAACCAGAATGACTTGTTTTGATCTTTGTTTTTTTGAATTAAAAAGTTCTCCTTTTGACATAATTAAAACCATGTGACCTTATAGGAAGGACTCATACATTGTGTGTGTGTGTGTGTGTGTGTGTGAGAGAGAGAGAGAGAGCGCATGAGTATACACATCCTGTTTGTGCAAAGAAAGTTGACCATATGAACACAATGTGTCTTTTGTAATCCGTGTGCCACTTTGATGGCTGTTTAAGGGGAAAGTTGTGATAGAGTTGGGAAAAAAATAGACAAGGAGCACCTCAATGATTCAATAGGTTTGTGCCTTGTGAGACTAGACTATAGTAATAGTAAGTTTATGTGATGTAAAAGTTTAACACATTAGGAATATCTTGTACTACCAACATTAACAGAAAGAAATGCTAGTCTCTCCCAAGAACCATAATACAGACATCTCCTGACTGAAGTCTGTGTAAATAAAAAAGAACCGTGAAAGCATGTTGGCAGCAGCACAGGTCTGTCACATCCAGCTTGTAAAAATCCTACACTGACAGGAGAAATGATTGAACTTTTCCTGGATTTGCTCTGCTTAGTCTGGAGATAAACACAATATTTTGGCAGTGTTGTCTCGCTGACTCATAATGACACCTAACCTGTTCTTTAAATTAGATAAGCTGTGACCAGAGTTTGCTCACTTCTCTTACTATGGCTGCTCTGAAAAGTGGTAGCCCAAAGTAGGCCAATTCATGTTTTTTGTCACTAATAAAATGTCCATTAACAGACCAGATGAAACGTCTGTTACTGAGTGGGAAAGGGTTCCCATAAAAAAGCGAAGGGAGATGTTTGCATGCTGCTCTTCAAATGTACATTTGCCAAACCAACCGGTTAGTCTTTTCTCTTGTAAAGACTTGGAGAAGCCATACAAAGGGGAGAATTCTGCTTTATCAGAAGTATTTCAACCCCTATTTATTACTTTTATAAGAGAAAGACGTTAAGGAAGTGGTTGGTTTTGGTAAGTGTACATCTGGTTAGCCACCCTACCCCCTTTAAAGATCCGCTTCCCTGTGCACCAGTGGGTGAGCTAGGCCAACAAATGCAAAACAACTACAAAAGCAGCATCCTACAGGGCCTTGTATTTATAGCCCTCCTTATTAATCCATGCACATCCATGCATAAAACTGGCAAAACATTTGACAATCATGTACATGAATGCAGGTGCCGGCCAGAAGAGTGCCATGTTCGTCCACGCACAGTCTTTCGAGGATCTGACTGCTGAGGCTGAGGAAGAGGCTGGGAGGGAGGCTGAACTAGACATATCAGGAGAGTGTACGGAGGAGCTCAAGGTGATGGTGGGGGAGAAAACCCTAGAGGAGCAACACAACAACGACATTTCACCAGAGAGCAGGCCGAAGGAGGAGGACGTGTCCAGCGAGGCGTGGAGGAGCCACAGAAAACACGTGTTTGTGCTGAGCGAGGCTGGAAAGCCAATCTACACCCGCTACGGCACGGAGGAGGCTCTGTCCAGCACCATGGGGGTGATGATGGCCCTCGTGTCCTTTGTTGAAGCTGAGAAGAACATCATCCGCTCCATCCATGCAGGTCAGAATAGACTAAAAATAAATAGGTCAAACGTGCATGTTGTGAAATGTGTTGTGTCCATGTCAACGCAATAACATTTTGTGTGTCAGATGGCTGTAAAGTGGTTTTCCTCGCCAAGAGCCCTCTGGTCCTGGTGGGCGTGTCTCGTACCTGTCAGTCGGACAAGGAGCTGCTGCGGGAGCTGCAGTACATCTACTACCAGATCGTCAGCCTGCTTACCCTCACCCAGCTCAACCACATCTTCCAGCACAAGCAGAACTACGACCTGCGCCGCCTGCTGGCCGGCTCCGAGTATCTCATCGACAACCTTCTGCATCGGCTGGACCGAGACCCCGGTCTGCTGCTCAGTGCCGTCACATGCCTGCCTCTGGCCAGCTCCGCCAGGGACGTGGTCTCATCGAGCCTGCAGGCCGCCAAAGCCAAAAACCTGGTGTTCTCCATCCTGCTGGCGGGGGACCGCCTGGTTACTTTGGTGAGGAAAAAGGACCAGTTCCTGCACCACATAGACTTGCACCTGGTCTTCAACCTCGTCGGCTCCTCCTCGTCCTTTAGAGAGGGTGAAGGCTGGACGCCGATCTGTCTGCCAAAGTTCAACACTGCAGGATTTTTCCACGCTCACATTTCTTACCTGGAGCCTGCGTCCGAACTCTGCCTCATCCTGGTCTCGACCGACCGAGAGGACTTCTTTAATATGTCCGACTGCAAGCAGCGATTTCTGGAGAGGCTGAGCAAGCGCGGTGCCTACCAGGCCCTGAAGGAGGCGCTTAAATGTCCCACCTACTCTGTGGAGCAGGTCGGCATCCCGGAGCTCAGGCACTTCCTGTACAAATCAAAGAGCTCGGGGCTGTACATCAGGTGAGCGGGACGTCTGCTGAAGCTTTATGTCACTGGTTCCTGCATTGAGAAACGCGCCAAAAGTCATATCATTTTGTCTGAATGCAAAACCTCTTTCCTGCAAATCTTCAGGTGTTGCACCTGACAGGATACTCTTTTTCCTTTCCTCCAGTCCAGAGTTTCCTGTAGTGTACCAATCTGATGAGGAGCAGGAAAGGCTGATGGGATTGTACCAGGACCTTCATAGCAGCTTGCATAATCCAACCAGACCTCTCCGCTCCTTCTACCGCTGTAGTGAAACTGAAAACCTGCTGGCATGGGTGAGCCTGGCACACACCAGAACATCACAGCATTGTTTAAGTTCTTCACTGAGTTTGAATTATTGTTATGTTTAAAAAAAAAAAAAAAAAAAAAAGGTCATTATTAAATATCACACTGTTACTTCTTAGCATCCATGCTGTCCGCAGTCACTTCCTGAGGCTTTTTAAATCATTTTGAAAACTGTGTTAGATGTTGATAAAGTTTTCTAGTTTACACCCCTCTAACTAGACATCAAACATTAGATGTCACTTGCATGTTTAATAATCTATAGTACATTAAGCTACAGTGATACTGTAAGGCCTTTTCAGACAGGAAGCGATTGATGCGCCTAGTAATTCGTTTTCAATGAGAGGCGAGCGGGTAGAAAGGAAGGCAATCTGACAGACGGAGTGACAAGCGGACAAGTTTTTTCTGCGCAACGCACAGCGCATCAAAGGATGAGCGACTGATCCTTGGTGTTTGTGAGTTTCCTGAATTATTTAACTGTTTCCTTGAAGCCAGGTTAAGGTGTAGGCCTTCTTGCAATGACCTTGGCAGCTTTCTCTTATTCATTAAAAATAATCTAATAATTTTACACAGCTGGAGCACCACACTTTAACCCCAGTCCATAGCTAAACAAAACAACTACACTTATTCACAGAGATCCAGTTAGTGTACTCAACTGAACTAAACTCACATGTAAACATACTTACTGAACTAATTTGAAAGTTAGTAGTTGAATTATTTAGTTATAGACTCTTTCAGTAATTTCTAGAAGATATATTTCAATGTTTTCTATAACCTATAAAGAAAATACATCTGCGGGGAAACATTAGCGCACGGAAGCCGTTACCATGGTTAATACCCATAGAGCGCCTACAGTTTACTCGCGGAGCGCTTGGCAGACACTCAGTATATTGCAACATTTTTGTCCTCTCCCTCACTGCTGTAGCTTTTAAAAAGTATGAGAGTGGTGCTGGAGGTATAAGCAATTATGTTGTAATATTCTCACAAGGTTAAAGAAACTATTGCTAATATGAGGATGGCTATATTCTGAGGACTGAACATTTGATTTAGAGTTTTGCACTTTGAATGTAAGGACTGCATTCTACCCTCCTTCCTGCAGGTGACAAGTGGCTTTGAGCTCTACATCTGCTTCAGTCCGCTGGGGACTAAGGCCCTGGCCCTCTCTGCTGTCAACAAACTGCTGAAGTGGATCAGGAAGGAGGAGGATCGCCTCTTCATCCTGAGTCCTCTCACATACTGAGCCCTCGCTGCCTTGCTGATGTCCTGAAACATAAAGCGTCACCCTGGACACCGACGGCCCTGGTGCTAACAGCTGTGGATGATGATGCAGCAGTCAGTCCAGTGTTTACGAATGATAGTCAAAGATATGCTTTTTCTCTCTCGCTTCTGGATTCCTATGATTTAATTCACAGATTTGTGATGAATTAGATTGTAAATTAAAGCTGTATTTTTATCTGGCTACATTTTTATAACTTTAAATTCAGATAACAACAATAGAACAATAGATGGAAGCAGCATCAACGTCATCGATGACACAGTAACAACATAAACGGTGGTGTTCGTATGCTGTTGAAGTTATTTCATAAATATTTGTTTTGTATTATGCCTCTAACAATATGAAAAATGCTATCTGTTTTTTTTAAATGCTATCAGCTCAGTTCTTTAAAATCAAGAATGACATTTGTCAAAAGTCAAAAACTGTAATTTTCTGAAGACCTGCAGTAAAATGTAATCTTTTGTGATTAAAACATGCTATCAAAATATGAGTTTACCACATTCCTGTTGTGTTTTATCTTTACATGATGACCAATAACTGTAAGAACCACTGACATTATACCTCTTTGCACTTTCTTTATGCAAAAGGAACTTCAAGAGAAATGTGTTCAGGAGTCTGTAATATGCACATTAATTATGAAAAGTATTGTGTGAAATGTTATCTGCTTGTGTCTAATCATAATTTCACGGGACCTTGCTTTGCTTGAGGAATCCAACAAAGCCGCATCTGCCTCCACTAATCAAGCCTTAACTAATTGTCATTGTTCAAATCAAAATTATGGTTGTAGCAGTGCACATTTATGGCTGATGCATAATTCCAGAGTTGTTATGTATAAATAAATAAATAAATCATTGGTAATAAAACAGACTCCCTATCAGTCTTATGTGTCCTAAGACTTCTGGTTTTACTGTTTTAGTGTCGTTGAGGATCTTGAAAAGTGCTATAGAAATAAAATATATGTATTATTACAGTAAAATGTACAGTAGGTACTCTTGAATTGGTTGCCAGAAATCAAAAAAGATATAAAGACAAATCTGTTCTAAAAATGCATCAATTTATGGCATAATGTATGTCACCACGAAAGGGGCATTAACCAGTACTCATACAATGTGTTTGCTGCTGGTATCTGTCAGTCTGAAGTGGTGAGGGGAGGAGCAAGGTGGAGCACTGCTCTAGGAAAGAAGACTGACTCATACTGGGAGTTGAGTTAAATCCGAAACCAATTCAGTTTACATGTTCCAGCAGAGGACGGGCAGGCTTTGTCTTTTAGCAGAAATTAATCTTGCCGTGTTAATCTTATTTCTCCCTGAGGGAAGATCAGTCATCCCTGCGCTGAAGTCAGACAAGGACCAAAGCTGGCAGTGGCAGCTTCCCTGAAGAGGATAGAAACTAACCAGCAAAGGTAACCTTTTCGTAACATTCAGAGCAGCATGTAGGCTTACCATAGATATTTTTCAACAAAATAGAAAAGAACTAGCGATCTGCTACTGCTAATTCTTGCAGTAGGCACTTGTTCAGATAGCATACCAAACATGCAGCCACTGTAAGTAAACAACTGCTCTTCTGAAAAACTATATGGTGGTACTGTTATAATACATTAAGCCTATGATTTGAAACATATTACTGTGTGCCACTTACAGAATTTAAAGTAATGTTAGAGGTTTAATGAAGAGTTTTAATTGTTATATAGGCTTGGGGTACTTAATGTGTGTGATGATGAGTGAAAAAGGTGCGCTGGTGACTAATAACAGAAAGGGGGAGTTGCCAGTGTCATTTACTAGTCCATTTTTAATGTGAGAATGATTTTGTGAAATTTTACATTTATAATTGGATTTATTCTCACTACAGTGTGTGTAATAGAACACAGTGCCCAACTGTAATCATTCCTAAAGCTCACAGAGGAATGTGTTGCCCTGTCTAACTTTTTATGTTATTCACAGCTATTGGAATCAAATACCATCTTACATGTGGATAGGAGCCAGAATACACTGTTACAGTTTGAATTTAAGGCAGACTGTTAGAGTAAGAAACAGGAGCATGAACACAGAGATCAGATAAAAAAAACAAAAAACATTAAAGCACAGGCTGAAAATTATGCTGCTTCTGTGCAATTTTCAAAACTGATTTTGGTACCATGTTGACCACTTACATTGTTTTTGAAGAGCACGCTCAAAAAAAAAAATCATCCCTATATGAATTTAGCCCCCTGCGATGGATAGGCGACCTGTCCAGGGTGTACCCCGCCTTTCGCCCGATGTCAGCTGGGATTGGCTCCAGCCCCCCGTGACCCTGTACGCAGCGGTCGACGATGGAGGGATGGATGGATGGATGGATGGATGGATGAATTTAGCAATTTCAAAATAAAGTAAATCCAGAGTAGTTCTCTGTCCACACTGATGGATTTGGGATGCATTTCCTGCCACTGAATCAATACATTTGTCCTTGAGGTATTTGACCACTGACTGTTTTTGCACATCAGCTTGCCTCTTCAGATCCCTGTGGCTATCTGTGCAGTGATTAATAAAAGTTGCTCTTTGTCACTGTAATGAAATGCCACCAAAGTGCCTGTGGGCAAGGCATTGATCCAATAAAGCTGTTGCCAATGCAATGCCTGCATTCCTCTCACTGTAGCCTCGTAGGTCATTGTTGTAAGTAAATGATAGCAAAGAAACGTGTTTTATGTTTGGAGAATGAGACAGGTAAATCATAAAAACGCATAGTACTCATAGAGCGAATATTTCTTGAAATCTGCTTTGATATTGTTCCAGTAGAACCAATGACACTGGTGTTCTAGTATGATTGCATCTTAATTCACCTGTGAGAGAATATACTGATCCAGCCTTCAGCTAACATCTGCATGCGGACCGGCCTGTAAATAGCGCTATAGTACAATGAATGGAAACTCAATTTCAACCATTTGCTTTATTAACCATGAACATGAAAAAAGTCAATCAGTGCCATTACTATGTATACCCATGTGCTCTAACCTTAATCTCAGTTTCACATGGAGCTGCAAATGTTAAAAAGTAACACAGCTTGAGATTCTATAAATTATTGATGTAAAGACAGCAAACACTTGACTTCAGATTTTTCCATATGATTCCTTATTGCAAGAACAAGTGCTGTTGTTTTTGAACAAAATGTGGTCAAAACGAAGTTAAATAAAATAATCAGAGTTGGTGAAATTCTCTGGCACGAGCAGACGAGCCGTTTCTTTTTCACCTGGGCCTTAAATAGTCACATGTCTTCCTATGACCATCATCTTTCCCCCTGAAAGGCACGTAGTGGTTGTGACAGGAATGCAAAGTAGAGAGGCCGGGGATCTTGAATACAGCCTTACTGTGATGTTTCTAGTTAATGATCCACCCAACAACAGGACAAGGCTCAGGGTTTGAAATACGGTTCCATTTGGTTGGTTGTTTATAGACTGATGAAGATGAGCCATGGAAAAATGCTCAGTTTTATTTGATACATTTGTTGTATTAAAGTTCAACTGTGGCCATTAACTTTATTTGTTACTACCAGTAGTCTATAGGATAAGAACACTGTCACAAGTATTCACAAACAAATACGCAACTTGTAAAACACAATGCACAGATAAATGTAGAGTGAAATGTATCTGTAAATCTGTATCTGTGTCTCAAATTTACAGCTCTTATATCATCATTTGTGTGTCAACTTAGCATTTGTTATGGAAATGTACTTGTGAATCTCCATCTATTCATGTGGATCCTTTTGAGACTGCTTTTCCATGCCGTTTGTGTCACACAAAAAATCCACAAGTGCAAGGAAGACAAAGTCTTTCCAGTAGATGGTAGTAATGCAGCATTTATGGATGCCAACTTGAACTCTCAGCAGCAATAGAGAATTCTTTTAAAATTTCTTAAATTGCTATAACTGTCACTATATCCTGACAGTAGTACATTAAACAGATAATCTGTAAAAAAAAAAACCCAGACATTTAAATTTAAATAAATGTGGTTCCTCTGGCTCCTCCTAGTGCTCCTAATGCAATTTGCAAGAATCCACTGCTCCCGGGTTAAAACAACACAACCAATCAGAGCCAGCAGCAGTCTCTAACGCCGTGTCAATGACCACTGACTGCTCTTGCAAACACTGCGCAGCTCCTCTCTCACTCAGTCAAGCTCAATATCTTCAGTGCAGCTTCAGACGTTTTGCAAACACAATGGCTTAGAAACCACCAGCAATGAAAGAACTAAGAATTATGTTCAATGCCATGGCGCTCGTATCGAGTGGCAAAGACGTATGATGACAAACAGTGGGGAATAACTTTTGAGTGGACACATTGGTGTACTAGCCTCTCACGCAGGATGAGGTTTTGCAGGGCAACCGATTACTTCTGCCGTATGAACTTGTGGGTTTGGTGGGAGGGGGGTTAGCACAGTAATACAAGCAGCAGAGAGAGGGATGCATTGTATGTTCAATTGTTACTGACTGCTGCTTTAAACTAACAGTAAGCTGATATGGCAGCTACAAAGGTTCTGAAGAGAGACATAGATGTGAGAGTAGGCTACTGATTGGGATATATGAGTACAAATTCATTATCGAGAAACATAACAGCTGTGAAACAGTGGGAAAATGAAAAGAATGTGTGTCCATAATAAAGAACATTGTTATTTATGGAGATACAGAAGACACTAGTTTGCTAGCCACGCTGCTGCTGCCCCTTCACTAACAGGTAACCAGTGACAGAACATGGTTTGGTGTTCTTCTTAGTTTAACATCGGTTGGCATCATAGACTGTATGGTTGGCATTTATAAATGTCAAATTACTCTTAACCAATGGAAAGGCTTGGTCTTCCCTCCACTTTTGGATTTTTCTCAATAAAGGATCCACACAAACAGGTGGAGATTCACAAACATATTTCTGTTGAAAAATGCCATACAAATGTTGATATATGATCTGTAATTTAGGGACACAGATACGGATCCAGATTTACAGCTAGAAATCACTCTACATTTGTTTGTGAATTGTGCTTTGCAGAGTCACATAACAGTTTACGAGTCACACATTTGTTGATTTTGTGAGAAATGGTAGAGAATTGTGTTTTACAAGTTACGTCTTTACGTGTTTGTGAATACTTATGAGACTGTTCTAATTCCAAAGTACTCCTAGATAAAAGATCATGACTCACAATGGGAAAAAAAAACATGAGATGTCGGATTAACTCAAATAAACATTACTGACAGAATGACTTGTGCAGGAAGTCACTATAAAAATAGTCGTATCCACTGTCTACCAAACTGAGCACTACCAACACAGATCTCTGTTTGATTATGTAAACATTTCCGATCAGTGTTTGTGGTGAGTCAGAGAAAGCTTTATGACCACATGTACTTTCATCATCATCTGGCGCAACCAAGATGATATTTATCACCTCAGATCTATTAGCATTCAGTGCAGAGCCTATTTAAGGAGATATTTTGATATTTTGCCTACTTCCTCGGTTACAAATAATGCACACTCCTAGGTAGCACAATGTCCATAAAACATTACGTTTTCTTTGATGAATGACTTTTGATAATTATATAGTTTTGCTAGAGGTTTAGTGTTACTGAAGAAAAAGGATATAGTAGATTAGTTTTGAATTAAACTGGTTTCAGCCATTTCATATTTTTGAAGATCAATTTAATGATTTAATGAGTTATTCTACTCTGTCATTTCATTTCATTCAGGTATCAGACGCTGGTGCTAAGGATGTTTTTGTCCCGATATCAGACCTGGAGGTAACCCCACGTTGTCTGTGCTGTCGCTCCCTCTCCCCGTACACCCCGGAGTGGAGATGGTCCACTGGACCGCACAGTGGGGGACATGTGTCTGGCTCCAGACTCTGCTGGCCTTTGCCTTGGCCAACTGTTCCTCACCCACCCCCAGTGCTGTCAACTTTTCTGTGATTTATACCATGCCCTTCTTCCAGGCCCGGGGCCCCATCCAGAACATTGTCAATAACTCGTTTTACCAGGAGGTTTATGTTGCCTCTCAGAATGTCATTGAAGCTGTCAACAGAAGCTTGGAGAAGGTGTGGGAGCTCCGCACTGGGCCGGTGGGAAGCCCAGAGTGTCAGATATGCGATTTGTGCGATGTTGACAAGGATCCCAACTTCCTGGAGGACACAAACAATCAGGTCTTGCTGTTGGATACTCTCTTTATGTATTTATACTCTTGTGGAAGTTCTCAGTATGGTGTATGCTATTTCCACCAACTTAACTCAAATGGAGAGTCGCCTTCTCTTTCAAAGTGTTTATTCAGAAAGGATTCAAACGCTGCCGCCTACTGTCCTGACTGTGTGGCCAGCCCTCTTGGTACCAAAGTCACCATGGTTGAAGAGGGTCAGACAGTCTATTTCTTTGTTGCCGCCACTGTCAATGACAGTGTGACCCAGCGTTATGGAAGGAAGTCTATATCAGTGCGTCGACCACTGGCCACAGAAGATGGTTTCTACAGGGATGTTCGTGGTCTGACTGTCCTTCCGGGCTTGCGGAGGACATATCATATTGAATATGTGTACAGCTTTTTCACTCAGGAGTTTGTGTACTTCCTCTCAGTTCAGAGAGAGAGCCCCGACCAGGACTCATCTCCGTTTCAGACTCGCTTGGGCCGTCTCCCACGGAATGAATGGGAAATGAAGAGGTATCGCGAGGTGATTCTGGAGTGTCGCTTTGAGCCAAAACGCCGAAGGAGGAATGTAGCCAGTGAACCCTATAAGGATGTGGTGTACAACGTGGTCCAGGCAGCCCATTTTGGCAAGGCAGGCAAAGAGCTGGCAGAGGAGTTAGGGGCGGAGGAGGAGGATGACATCCTCTACGGGGTTTTTGCTGTTACTGATGACAACGGGGTCACGGAGCAGGACTCTGCTCTGTGCGCCTTCCCCATGGACAACGTGAACAAAGCAATCGCAGATGGAGTGGACGACTGCTGCGAGTCTGGACCAGAGCAGCTCTCCAGAGGGCTCTGCCATTTCCAGCCCTGTGAGAGCTGTCCACATGAGGTGAGCACATCACTGCACTGACACACAGCAATTCCAGACGATTTATATGATCTCAGGTCTACTTTTATTTAACCGAAAGAGTCCCAGTGGGATTTTCATCAAGATACTGTTTGAAAGAGGCAGACAGGTGAAGAACAAAGGTAAATTCAGTTATGTGTGACTGCGTCAGGGGGTCTGGTAAGTGGGAACCACTGAATAAGAAGATCCATTTGTTTCCAGCAATACATGCCACAATACTTACTCACTTTTGAGAACTCACCTAAAATAGAAAACATATAAGTTGTTTCCCTGAACTGCACCCATTAGTTTGGATACTGTTTGCACCTTGTAAGGGCCTGTTAAAAATCTAACCATGTGGGTGTGGAGCTACAAAGTATGTCTGGAGTGATGTTCTCTTACTGTGTGTATAAACATTGAAACAGTAGGTAAACCACAGCCAGGAGTTAGCATAGTGTTGTTCCGCCTAACACTACCTCTAAATGTGCTGGACTATGACTTGGTCAGGAGCAGAGGCTTCCTGGAATATTGTCGACACTGTGAGGTTGCCACACATCCTGTGGAGATGCGTTAAAAAAAATCAAGACTTGTTAATAAGTCAGCTTTAGACTGCTGGTCGTGGATTTCTTATCTTTGGAAAGAGCCAGGCTAGCTGTTTCTTCTTATTCTGGCTTTCCAGCAGACTAGATGCCTTACGGCATATTGTTGCCTCTCACTGTTCAGTCTCAGTATCGTTTTATGGCATCACCATTCTCAGAGAGGTAATCCTGCTGCAGATATAAAGTCTGTGACTGCTTCCAGTATCCTTGATTGGTTCTCATGAGGATTCAAAATGTCTCTCAATGTCACTGTCTGTATTCCAGCTCCTGATAGCGCAGAGTAAAGTTGATCTCTTTGCCTTTTGTACTGTTGACATTCCATTAACAGTCTGTTGTTGATTGCAGGTTCTACAGAGTCCATCCTCATGTTTGCCCATCTTTGCCAGATCCCATGCAAGTCCACAGTGTCCCAGTCTCAGTCTTGTCATGATTACAGAATGTCTTCTGGTTTTACCCAAGTAACACTGCTCTGCTTTTTTTTATATTGAATAGTAGTGACAACCCCTTGTTTCATTTTCCCACTGCCTCTGTCACACTGCTGTCATGTGTTCCTTTATGACAGACCGACATTCAGAAACCCCAATACAAACTGCTAGATCAATGTCTCTTTTCAAAGCCATTTTAGCTGCCTTGCCTGTCTCCGTGCTCCCCAATTAGGCTAGCTGTTTCCCTCTGCACCCAGTCTATATACTAAGCTAAGATAACTGTCTGCTAGCTTTAGCTTCATATTTAGCATGCAGACATGAGAGTGGAATCGACCATCTCATCTCGGCAAGAAAGCAAATTAAGGATATTTCCCCAAAAGTCAAACTATTACTATACACTGTTAATGTGTCATATGGTGGGGACTGAGACGTGACATTATTTACAGTTATTTACAGTAGAAAAAATATTTACAGTTGAAATATTGAATCCCCCTATTCAATATTTCAACTTTAAATATTTTTTCTAAATAGTAGGTCTATTAAAATATATTCTTGTCTTGTAGTCATGGACACCAATCTTGTGCAATGTCACTTCTCAGTCCCCTCCATATGACACATTAACAGTGTTATAATATAGAGAAGTTCAGAAGGGGTTCTCCTTTAAAGAGATTGTCTGGGGGTCCTCCCCCCGAAGATTTTGAGCATTAAACACTTAATTTCCTGCATTCTGGAGACATTTTCTGCACCATTCTGGAGACATTTTCTGTGTTGTTTTTTTATAAAGGAAGCACAAAATTCAGGTGGCAGGTGACAATTCACAATATAAAAATATAGTAAAATGTAATGCAGTAACCAGTAGCTTATTATTATTATTATTATTTTTTGGTTAACAAATGCTTTCAAAAAGTGGTGGCTACATGTCCCCAGCGTCCCCAGTGTAAATGCTCCCTCCCTGCTCCCTCCCAACAGGCTGAGCTGCTCCATGCTTCCCGCTTCACCTCCACTCTCCTCCTGCTCACGTTCTCACTCAGCACTGTCACTTTGTCACTCTGTTTCACTGTCTCACGCCTCCTCCTCTGCCTGGTAGGGGCTACAGCTCTTTTACTCTTCCAGGTGCCTGTGCCTGCTCTATGCAGGGTACTGCAGCTGACGTTGAAGCTGCTGCAGCCCCGGTAGCAAACAGATCGGTTATTTTCACGCATTTGGCGGAAGCCTTCTGAAGAATGATTTTTATGTGGCTCGTAATGCAAGAAACAGAGAGCAGAGGGGGTGGGGGCTAGTAAGAGATGTGATTGGGCCAGCCCAATGTCAGTATAGAAAATTACCCAATGGGCCGCTGTCCGTGCTTTATGGGCCGATCGTTGGCCCGTCTTTTAAAAAGTTATATAAATAAATAATTTTACGTCACACCGGCCCCAAAGGTACGTGGCCCACCTGGCATTTGCCCGGTATGCCAGATTGCCAGTCCAGCCCTGGAGTGGATCAACACACATTACTATCTGAATCTTTTCGGTCAACTGAAATGGTGCCTGAGTTCAACCCAACATACGGACATTTTAAATATGATTTACTTTATGCACAAACTCTTCATCATGTGTCAGATCTTCAATATTACATACCCATAAAAGGAAACTTTTTTGGATTTCTGTGAAGTACCATAAGGTCATTTGCATCCCAGCCGGCAGAGGAATGCAACTAGAACCACTTGCATCAGCGTTCTTTGAGCACTCGCTGTTAAATCCATGTCAAGAGGGATACAAATTGCTTTTTGGATGGAAAAATTTTTTATGATATGGGATGGTCAGACAGGAAGAGAGTATTTAAAAGAAACTGAAAATGTAATTCACGTTAGTCAATCAGAATCAGAATCAGAAGGAGCTTTAGTGCCAATAGTGTTTAACACATACAAGGAATTTGATTTGGTGATAAGGTGCTACACGTAGACAAACATACAGATGACATAAATAAATGTAGAAATATATAAATATGGAATAAACAAATGCAAGTTAAATAAGAATAATAAAAGAATAGAGAAAAACAAATACTATTATTTGCAGAGAAAGAACAATGTGGCAGATTTTTACCTGTGCATTACTCTGGTTTATGTAGTGCAGATATATTGCAACAGAAGAGAATATTGTGTACATAAATAAATAGACAATATGAAAATATAGAACAATGATTAACAACTGACAACCAATATGTGCAATTGACAACAAATATGTGCAAAATACATTTGCCTCATTCCTTCCTATTTTATTAGTCCCTGCATACTTCAGTATCCTTTGAGGTCATAGTGTGCATTTGGGTAACACTTTATTTTAAGGTACTTGTAATAGGCACTAATTAACAGTTAATAAGACACTTTTAAGACCTTATAGGATGCTTCCAAACATAAATAAGTCAAGTGTTAATGAAAGCATAATTAACAGATTTATTATTGCTTATAAGACAATTATGGGCTCTTATTAGAAACGTGTTAACAAGTTATATATACCTCATGAACCTTAATAAGATGTTTATTAACATTAATGAGACTTAATGAGTGTTAGTAATGTCCTAAAACACACACATTATTGCTTGTAAGATATTTATGAACACTTATTAGAAACTTGTTAACAGCTATAAACCACTTATCAATGTTAATAGGATGTTTAGTGACAGTAATCAGACTGTAAGAAGTTTATATTACTGCCTTATAAAGGCTAATATATCCTTATTTATGCACTTATTAACCATTAACAATGCACCTTTGCAGCTACCTAAACTAAAGTGGGAACAGTGGCTTATTTAAATTAATAAACCCTTTATTATGCACTTATTAACCATTAACAATGCTCCTTTGCACCCATACTAAAGTGGGATTTCATAACTTTCAACTAAACGCAGCAACCAAAAGAAGAGTATATTAAACTTCCACTCAAACACACGAATAAAATAAAAGTGCAATTACAAATACATTTTCTTTAACATTAACTCTAAACAACATTATGTAAGATGACCTTGAGATCGTGGACTTTGGGGAACATTTTTTGTCTCCCATCCTCCAACTCCACGAAGATCTTCTGAAACCTTAAAAGGCCCTTTAGATAGGTGAAAGCCCTACAATGGGAATACCAAAAATATGTTGAGTGCAAATGAAGGGAGGGCCTCTTGGATGGCTGAAACATCGTTGTCATTATACCAGAGTGAATTTTTTGCTAGATATTAAGAACACATATTGCTCTTTGCTCTCCCTCTGTACAGAAATCTGGGTGGGATTATGTAGTTGCTGTGGCAATTTTGAGCGTTGTTGGGATTTAAGTCAAGAAATGTGTGTGCGCATCATAAATACATTTGTGAACCTTAATGTTTTTCTCACATGGATTTGCCTACATTTATAAACAATAACTATCTTGTGTGAATTGAAAAATATTTATGTGGAGAGAGTCATGTATATATAAATCAAGAAATAAATTTGCGATTCCTGTAGTGTGCATTAATAAAAAGAGGTCAGAAAACTTTTTTTCTTTACCTGGTAGTCCTTGATTAAGTCCTCTATCTTATCATCAAGTTAGAGAATGAGGCCTCTGATCACAGCTTCTTTTCAGGACTCAGTGCTGCTGTCCTACAAATATATGAAATACAAGATTATCTTACAGTATAGATATCCGATAGCTACATTAAACTAACAGCTACAATATTAAAAGTACATGCCTCGTTTATGATGTCAAGGGTCTTTTCAAATTCCTTCCCATCAGCTCCTCCCTTCCACTCTACCTGTTACAGTCCACAGGGAATGTGGACTGTAGTGGCTTCAGTCTGATGCTCGAGAATTGTTCCTTGATCTGAGAAAGAGACTGAGAGAGAAAGAGAAACATCATGAGATACTGAGAGAAAAGAATTAGAGACACAGGGAAAGAGAAACAGAACACCAAGAAAAAGTAACCCTAGAAACTACCACCATGGGATCAACAAAAATAGATCACCAAGGTAATGGAACTAATGTATAGCCAGCAACATCTGGTGCATACACATCAGACATAAAGTCTTGCTGTTCTTAGTAAAAAAAAAAAAGTCTGAATAATAATTTAGTAATTTTTGATAGATCTATCAATTTGCTCTGTGAAATGCAAAAAACGAACAGGGCAAGTAGAACTCTGCCATCTGAAATGAAAACAACTTTTTGCCTGGCCCATGAGTTAGTTAATATAACTGTAAATTGTACATTCACACACTCAATATTTCAAAAACACCAGAGTGGTGATTGTTGGAACAATGGAAAAACAACTAAGATGGTTTGTGAAGGTTTTATCTTGTTTCTGTTGACATTAAATGAAGTAAGTGCTCATACCGATGCTAATAAGAAATAAGAAATGTGTTCATTCATATTTTGAGAAAATACTAGATTGACCAGTGGACTTAGTATGCAATTTTGTTGATCACAGGCCACTTTTGGACTTTGGGTTCTCACTGAAAAAAGAAAATTTGTTTTAAACTATGTTCATTTTCTTGGCTGGGTAAATGATGTGCAGTATGTGCCCTTAAGCCTCCCATATAATTATGTTTTTAGGTCAGTGGAATTTGAGATTTAAGGTTCAGGAAACTGTATATACCCATGATTTTATGCTCCTCTAGGGTTTGGAGGTGAATGACTTAAGTCAATAGCAATGCTATTGCTAGTTTGTGTTTTTGGAGGATGGATGTCTTTCAATATTTTTCTTTTGCATTCACTTAATTTGAAAAAGGCTTATTTCTCAGTTTCCTGTTTTCACTTTTCTATGCCAAGAAAACAATTACAAAGTGAAATTTCTTATATCTTGGCCTCAAAGATATTAGCCAGTGTTTACATGAAGACTTCCTTAAATCAAACAATGATCCATCCTGCTTTGTGTCTGTAGATACAAGGGAATCATTCTGTCAGCAATGCAACACATTAATAATGTATCATGGCCTCTTGAATTATGAAATAATTCATGACAGAGTCACCTTGTGCTTCTGGTGTGCCAGGGACTTCATTTCTCATGATTACACTGGTGACAAATGCAGCTCATACCACGTCATTCCAACCAAACAACTGGGCAAGTCTTACTTCATCTGTATATTTTTAAAAGATAAAATATTATTGTCTGAGAATGTGCAACTCTTCAGCGCACATGAATGTACAATGGGCTGTCAAGCTAATGCAAACTACTTGATAAATCAGATTGGATGCTGTAAACTTTGCAGCAGTGACACAAAATGGAAGCTCCTAGTGGTTGGCTTTAAAGCAGCATAAAGGGAAAAGTGGTACTATAATATATCCGCTTACATACCATTGGTAAGTGTTGTTGTTATTGTTGCTGTTGTTGATCAATAAAGCCTTTCTATATGGAGGATCAGTTTGAGAATTACATTTTTTACATTGTCTTATACCCATTCCCCTATGAATAGAATTATATACAGTATAAGTCAAGGTCAAGCTCAAGGTCCACTTTCTTGCTTCTGGATCTTTCTGCCATTTATCACATGGTCTACAGCAGCAGATGGAATTGGCTCAGTTGAATGTGGGTCTCTCTGTTGCTGTGTTGATTTCATCCTGCACTTTTAGGACTCCTCTGTGGTGAGGTACCAGTTGAGCATAAAGGTTCAGTCTTGACCTTGGAAATAGTCACTGGACAAAATAATTACAACCCAAGGTCCAATTCCTGGCTTTCTCCTACAGATGCATTATCAGTGTTCGCTCTTTTTCTTCCTTTTATGTATCTAACGGCCCTGCCACCTGTTGTACACCCTACTGTCAACTGAGTTAAAACGTGTCTAATAATTCCATAAATAATAATAATTTAAATAATGTTGAGTGCCTCACTTTCTGTCCTCTGCTGCCTGTGGCCTTGGTACTAGAGCATGGAGAACAACGCCACATGCAGAGACCATCCTACTATGGTGTCAAAGCCCTACTACAGAGTGGACCTCTTTAACAGGCAGATGACAAACGTCCTGCTCACATCTTTGCTGGTCACAACCATAGAGAACAAGACTGTAGCCCATATTGGCACGTCTACTGGACGCCTTCTGCAGGTACAAAAACATGATTTTAAAAATGAATAATTCTTTTATCATTCATTTGGTATTTGTCTTTACTTGACCATTATACATAACCACTACTAATAATCACATGTTGTATCTGTGTTGACAGCTTGTATTGACAAGATCCAGCCCTGTTATCTTTGCCAATTACTCTTTGGTAGAGAACCAGAGGGTCTCGTCCATCACCGCTGTTTACTCCTCAGAGTATCTTCTCTTTGTAGTTGGAGACAAGGTATGAGAGCAGTCCCATGTCTTTAAATGAGAGAAAAACAATCTTTTGGGGCAAATGTTTGAAAGTGTATAATTGTTTAGTGGATATTACTGTCATCTGATGCCAGGAGGCTCTTAGGGTCAGCCTTTCTTCCACAGTTCAAAGACATGCAGGTCTGACGTCTGACGCAGAGTCCAGTAGTTTTATCAGCTGCTCAGGTCTCTGGTTAAGCTTGGCAACAGGCAAAACCATTTCCTCCCACAAAATGACACATCTTTTCTAAAACCCTTAAAAACCATGGACATAAGCAATTGTTAATGAAAACAGAAGTTGTGAAGATGCCTTACATTTTATCAGGGATGCTGTCACTGTAAGAAAACATATCTTTAGTTGAAGATAATTTGTATGTTTATTAGACTTAATTTCAGCTGTCCATGTGACCTGTCAAACAGCCTGGTGCTGAATGTGACCCAGTATCAGTATTTATCTCTTTGCGTGGAAGGGATAAATTATTATTATATTAAGGAGTAAATGTAGGTAATTTCATTCATGTTAATGGTCACATCAGTAATGAAATAGCCCAGGGCATCTTTCTTCTAAGATTGATTGTGTAACCTTAAGAATTATTATCTCTCTGTTTCAGATGATCCAGGTGCCCCAGAGAGGGCCGGGCTGTCAACACTTCCTGACTTGTGCCATGTGTTTGACAGCTCCTAAGTTCATGGGCTGTGGATGGTGCTCTGGAGTGTGCTCCTGGGAGAGCGAGTGTCACAGTCGCTGGAGGAACGACTCCTGCCCACCAGGGGTCACTGGGGTGAGGTTTGTTCTGTAAGCCAGGATACAAACATCTCTTTGCGCAACAAATAAAAACATTTCATTTCAAGGTGGTACTATATCTTCTGCTTATTTATACAGTTCTTTCCACGGACTGCTCCCCCTGATGGTCAAACAGAGTTAACGTGTGTGGATGGGAGTTCCAGTCCCCCTTAAGACCTGTCATCACCTCCAGAACCCATCAGGTCCGACTGGGACATACTGCCTGCACTGTGCTTCCAGTCAAAAGCAACAACACACAGTGAGTATTGATGCAGTCCTCATTCTGGTTCCAAGTATAATCTGTTCATACTGCAGTTGTTTTGTGGGAATTGTGCTTTTTAGTTATTTTACTACTGGACAGTAGCTCCATGGGTACTTGGCTTGGGAACCGGAGGGTTGTTTGTGTATGTGTATGTGGGACTGGCGATACCATCATTTTTTCTACCAATACTTTTTCTTACCATTTTAATAATACCGATACTGTAACCAATACCAATACTGATTATTACTAGGGTATGTGATTTTCCAAAATAATGGTCATTTTTAGAGATAAAAAAAGATCATTACACTTACAGGTTCAGTAACTTTTATAAATATAATGTTTGGCTTATTTGCTGAAACTGTCACTACATCCTGACAGTAATGAGAAAATGAAAATGAAACAAAAATGTCTGGTCCTGAGTCAAAACAACCAATCACAACCAGGCGGAGTCTACAACAGAGTGTCAATCCCTGCTCCTCCACTCAGTGAAGTTCAATACCTTCAGAAGTTTGCAAACACAATGGCTGAGAATCAACCACCAGCAGTGAAAGAGCTGCCCATCTCTTTTCTTTGCCAACAACAGCAGCATTTAGTAAAAAATCACGTCCCAGCTCCACACGGAGCTTCAGGGTCATTATGTTTGATGCCATGGCACTCGTATCGACTAGAGGCAAAGAGGCATGATGACAAACAGTGGAGAATAACTTTTGATGAGGGACAGTGGTGTGCTAGCCTCTCATGCCACTGTTAGACGTTGTTGCAGCTGCCTCTGAAGCAGGGGGCACTCTCCCCTGAGCTGGAGGGACATCTTTGAGAAGACAAGTTGCGGCGAGAGGAAATGGGGTCTTGGCGAGACTGTATCAAAAAAATAGTGTATCTTGCTGTGAAAATATTCATTTTGTTCTTGCAAAGCTTCAAATCTGTATGTATGTGATGTTTTCTTTTGATACTATGTTTGTTGACAGATTGAAATAAAGATTTTAAAAAAGGCCACATGCTTGGTTGCCATGTCACATAGGTTTTCACAGATATGTGCCGGGGCCAGCTAAATATTTTAGGGCTTTTTATAGGCACAAACATTATACAAAAGTACTAACTCTGTTTAAAGTCCAACAATTTTAATTTACCTTTAAATTCAATTGTCACTTGTGTTGCAGTAACTGTATGCCACTGATATACTAACACTAGTATTTCGTTGTGCTGCCCTGCAGCCTGGTGTGTAAGATTCGCTCTGGGGCCACTGAGTTGTCCAAACCAGTCAACATTACAGTGGAGGTGCATGAGGGAAAGGTGGATGGACGCTATTCTATTGATGGGAAGGCAGAAATGCCAGGATTCACATTTGTGGTAATTTTTGATATTGCCATCTACTTATATTCTCATTACAACGAATCAACGCTATAAATATTTTTATAAACTATTTAATCTTTGGAACTACTTTTACCCTTCTCTACGATCCCTCCAGATTCCCAACATCACAGAAATCCAGCCCAACTATGGGCCGCGTGTTGGGGGCACACTCATCACAGTGACGGGACCTTACTTGGATGCTGGAAAGACCAGGAAAGTCACTCTCAATGATGTGCCCTGTCCTATAAAGAGGTCTGGAAATACATCCCCCCTTGTTTGAATTTACCTGAAATGTTTTGCTTTGTGTAGGTGCCATACTTCCTAGATGTTAATAAGAGAAGTTGCTGCTAAGAACATTTCATTGCCACAAAGGAAATGTGTTCTAACTTGTGTTTAGAATTATCATAGTTTGTGGAACTACAGGCTAACTCGTCGTCTAGCATCCAAACACTTTCTCAGGACAGAACTGTTTTCTACTGCAGATGCCTTATAGAACATGCACAGTATATTAAAAGGTGTGAAGCTTTTTAGTTTATAACCCTTTGTCTGTTTTGGCATGTGATTCACATACCACTGTCTCTCCACAGAGTCACAAAGCCTAAAGGCAATGTGTCCTCCATCATTTGTCTGTCTCAGCACATGTCAGAGGTGAGAGATGTTCCACTGAGTGTTTTCATCGACAAGTCTCCTGTCCTCACCACAAAGGTGTTTTACTACAAAGACAACCCACAGATTACAGCCGTCCTGCCTGGCTGTAGCTTTGACCGGTAGGACAGTCAGACCTCCAGCACAACCAGCTGTGTATTTGTATTTCGATATGGAAATCAGCCAATTTTATTTCTCATCTTTTTGACAAATTCATTTGTAACAGGAAATGGTCTTCAACATGTAACCATCTCTTACATTTGCAGGGGTTCAAAGATTGTGATTGAGGGGGAGAACCTGGATTCTGTGTACCGCACCATCGTCCGCTTTAAACCCAATGAGAGCCACTTGAAACCTGTGACAAGGGTACAGTGTTCATTGTTAAGTACAGTAGATACTTTCAAAAGCATTACTCTTTTAGTCAGTCTATTGTTTAAGATGTACTTGATTTCCCTCCAAGCCTATATGATTACATGTTGCTGTATTGGCTTAGCATAAAGTATGATTACACTGTTTTGTTTTGTTTTGTTTCAGGAATGCATAGGCAAGTCCTTGCCCACAAGGATGGAGTGTATCTCTCCTGTGTTCCCCAGGGATGAGACAGAAGAAGGAGAGCTTTCTTTTGACATGGACGGAGCGTTGGGACTTTGGAACAAAGAGTTCTCCTACCACCCCTACGGCGAGCCTATACCTTTTGAAACAGAGGGACATGTGTTGAGTTTGTACCCTGGGTTTGACGAAGTGTCACTACATGTAAGAAAATGTTCTGAGGATATTTGCTTTTGAATTAATGACAAAACACTTGTTTCTTATAATAACTTTTGTCTCAAATCTTGATTTAACCTCTCTGTACACAGCATCAAAAGCTGAATCTGGTGAGCTCCTGTATGACCATCATCATGACGGTGGCAGGTGTTAATTGTGATGCTAAAGTCCTGGATAATGAGATCACTTGCAGGATCCCCAAAAACATGACCATCCCAAGTGAGGGACTGCCAGTGAAGGTTAGTGAGGCTGGGTTTAGATATTGATTAATTGACTGAATTACCTGGATCCAGCATGCAACACGTGGCCCCAATGTCACACATATGCCTGGCTAGTGGACACCAACCGTTCTTGTACATTGTGCAAGTACCCTGTCAAGCAGCCAAAAATATCATATAATAAATTCAAACCCCAAATCCCAGAAGCTCAATATATTTATAATAAAGATAATCAAGATATTTTGAATCACATTTTTTATTTTGAATATACAAACCAATGAAATTCTGCCATTTAGCATGTCTGCATGCTAATAGGGTACTACATAGTTAATGCTAGCATTCAAAGTTAGTAAAGTGCAGCTTTTTGGGAAAACACTTATTTACTTTCCTGCTGAGAGTTTGAGAGGATTAATACCAATTTCATGTCTGTTTGATCTTTCGAGGCTTACGTCAGCAGGAGGTTAGCTTAGCTTAGCCCAAAGGCTGGAAACTGAGGGTATCAATTAGTCTGTCCAAAGGTAACTAAATCCACCTACTGGCACCTCTAAAATGTACTAATCTGGACTATTTCTCAGCCAGGCACAGTAACGTCCTGAAATTTAACAAACAACTGGGATATATAACTTGTTAATTAGTGAGCTGAAGGTATCTTCATATTTAACTTCATATTTATTGTGAAGACATGAGAGTGGTATTCCATTCACTCATCCATTTTCTGGCAAAGCAAGGTAGTTCAGGCGTCCCTCCCCTCAGAAATGTTTTCCAGTTCCACCCGAGGGATCCTGAGGTGTTCCCAAGCCGGATGAGATATATAATATATCTCTCCAGCGTGTTCTGGGTCTACCCCACGGTCTCCAAAGAAGCAGTGGCTCCCTCCGGATGTCCGGCCTCTTAGCCTATCTCTTAAGGGTGAACCCAGCCACCCTACAGGAAACTCATTTCGGCCAATTTCTTTAAATACTGTAAGTGTTTGTCAAGAACTAGTAACATTTTAAATTAATCAGTAGCAAACCTTCAACAATGCTGTATTAAGCAACAGAAGGGTTGCCTTCCAGAGTTAACTAATAAAAATCTCTCTGAGTTAAAATCTACCTATCAGAGGTAGATTTTAACTTTTTTGGTAGTTAGCCATATGCTTTTGAAAACAGGAGTCAGAGCTTTGAAGTAATCCATGTGTGACAGAAAACACAGCAGGTCTCAGTGTAAATTGCTTGAAACATTAATTTGTGTTTTCCCATTGTGGCACTTACAAGAAAAGGACTGATAACAATGCTATAATAATGGTCTTCACTGTGTATGATGGACTCTTTAGATCTCTCTTCTTTAGATCTCCATCAATGGGCATGTCCACAACGTTGGCACGGTGGTGAGGGTGAGCAACCACTACATGGTGGGCATTGTTCTGGGGATCCTGGCGGCTCTGGTGGCTGGGGCGGTGCTGGCATTCGTAGTCATGAAACACTTAAGGAAGGAGAAAAAAGGTGGGCTACCCTCTGTTACGTGGACCTTGGTCAGACCTGTTAAGTGCTACCGGCTGTGGGTGGAAATTTGGGATGAATTGCACAAGTCTGTCAACTAGAACATCCCTGGTGTTGCATGGGATGTACAGGTGTTCTTCTCCTGGGGTTGATGATTAAAATATGTTGGGAAATGTTTTCAGCTTCCATGGTAGAGACCCGTTTGTTGCACGGGGCTCACCGCACTAGTACAAATAATGTGGAGCTGTCGCCCATGGGGGACTACAGGAGAGGTGACTGTTTAGCCAAGCACTGTACTGTAATACTGTTTCAATTTGCTTCACACACACACACACACACACACACACACACACACATATCTTTGCAGCTCTCATTAATAAACCCTTCCTTCTGGACTTTTACCAGTAGTATCCCTAAGTCCTCCAACTCCACTGGTAGGGCCGGTGGTGTTCCCCAGCCTGGCCTACGCTGCAGGCAGCATAGATCCTACGCTCACTACTCTCATGCCTCCAGAGAAGATCTCCATCTCAAGTTTTAGGCCAGAGCTTCTGGAGGAGGTGAAGGATGTTCTTATTCCTGCTGAGATGCTTATTGTGCAGCACCACCGGATCATAGGAAGGGTAAGGAACCCCACTGCCTTTGTCTGAAACAAAAAACTTGTTATGGAGGCTTATGTAAGCTGTATCATGTTTTGAAGGAACAGCTGCAGTCTTGTGTCATTCTGTCTTTCACTGCAGGTCATTTTGGCACTGTCTATCACGGCTACTTCACAGACCACAACAACAGAGAAATCCACTGTGCTGTCAAGTCTTTGAATAGTGAGTGATATCTGCTTCTTGGTTTTACCTTCTCTTCAGTGCTACTGCTGTGGAACAAATTGTCACAGGATTCCGGATGTTTCCTGAGTAGCATTTTCAATGCACCTTTTCAAAATAGTGATTCAGTGTCTTTCTTCCTTTAGATTTAAATCCATTATGTTTATGTATGTGTGTCATCATAATAACAGACGTCGAGGAGGTGGAGCAGTTTCTGAAGGAGGGTATCATAATGAAGGGTTTCCACCACATTAATGTGCTGTCTCTGCTGGGCATCCTCCTGCCACAGGAAGGGCTCCCCTAGTGGTGCTGCCGTACATGAAACATGGGGACCTGCGGCACTTCATACGCTGCGAGAAAAGGGTGTGACAGCCACATTAATGTTAATCATCTGATTAAGCACAACCGTCCATTTACCTTAGCCAACTATGTAACTTCATGTTAAGTCTGTGGTTTTGTCATGTGTTGGGATTTGTTCGAACCCCACTTAAAGGATCTGATTGGCTTCGGGCTGCAGGTTACCAAGGGGATGGAG